CCAAAATCCCCATTTTTAACCCCAAAAATCCAGAAAAATCCCCATTTATTCCCCCAAAAATCCCCATTTTTTCCCCCAAAATCCCCATTTTTCCCCAAAATCCCCATTTTTACCCCCAAAAATCCCCATTTTTTACCAAAATCCCCGTTTTTTGCCCCAAAACCTTCGGCCTCACCTTGAGGAAGATGCCGACGTTCTTCACTTTCTTCTTGACGGCCGTGAGCACCACGGCAGGGCCGTCCTGCGATTGGCCGGGAGAAAAGGGGCGGGGACACGCGATTGGTCAAAAAAAGGGGGCGGGGACACCCCATTGGCCAACAGGGCAAGCAGCCAGGCTGCGATTGGCCAACGAGAGCAAGGCCGCGATTGGCCGAGGGCAGAAGGGGAGGGGCCATTTCCTGAGGGGAGCGAGGACGCGATTGGCCGGGGGGAGGAGCAGCGGGGCCGCCATTGGCTGAGGAAAGGAGCAACGCGACTGGCCGAGGGAGGAAAAGGAGCCGCCATTTTGTGAGGGGAGGCCGCCATCTTGGTAGGGGAGGCTGCCTTTTTGTGAGGGGACAAGGCCGCCATTTTGGAATGAAGGCCGCCATTTTGTTTGGGGAGGTGGCCATTTTGGAACTAAGGCTGCCATTTTGGGAACAAAGGCCGCCATCTTGGTAGGGGAGGTGGCCATTTTGTGAGGGAAAGCCGCCATCATGGTAGGGGAGGCTGCCATTTTGTGAGAGGGTAATGCCGCTATTTTAGAACGAAGGCCGCCATTTTGTGAGAGGAGGCCGCCATTTCGTATGGGGAGGCGGCCATTTTGGTAGGAGAGTCCACCCCTTTGTGAGCGAAGGCCGCCATTTTGTGAATGAAGGCTGCCATCTTGGTAGGGGAGGCTGCCATTTTGTGAGGGGGCAAGGCCACCATCTTGGAACGAAGGCCGCCATCTTGGTAGGGGAGGCGACCATTTTGTGAGGGAGCAAGGCCGCCATTTTGTGAGGGGGCAAGGCCGCCATTTTGTGAGGGAAAGCTGCCATTTTGGGAGGGAAAGCCGCCATTTTGTGGAGGCTGCCATTTTGTGAGGGGGCAAGACCGCCATTTTGGGAGGGAAGCAAGGCCGCGATTGGCGGAGGGGAGGAGCCCTGCCGCGATTGGTCGGTTTGGCCCCACCCACCTCGTCCACCATGACGGTGTCGCCCAGGAAGAGCGCGTAGCTGCGCTCCTCCGGCCGCTTGGCCTCGCGGTTGGGCAGCTCCGAGAGACCCACGTTGACGCTGAACACCATGCCTGGTTTGGGGAGAAAACGGGGGATTTTGGTTAAAAACGGAGAAATGTGTAAAAAACTAAAAAATGGGGAAAAATCACCATTTCTGTTTGGGGGAAAACCACGGGATTTTGGTTAAAATGGGGAAAAAATGGGAAAAATGGGGAAAAACAAAAAAAATGGGGTAAAAACATCATCCCTGTTTGGGGAGAAAATGGGGGATTTTGGTTAAAAACGGAGAAATCTGTAAAAAACCAAAAAATGGAGAAAAATCGCCATTTCTGTTTGGGGAGAAAACGGGGGATTTTGGTTAAAAACAGAGAAATCTGTAAAAAATCAAAAATGGGGAAAAATCACCATTTCTGTTTGGGGGGAAAACGGGGGATTTTGGTTAAAAATGGAGAAATCTGTAAAAAAACCAAAAAATGGGGGGAAAACACCATTTCTGTTTGGGGAGAAAACGGGGGATTTTGGTTAAAAACGGAGAAATGTGTAAAAAACCAAAAAATGGGGAAAAATCACCATTTCTGTTTGGGGGAAAACCGGGGGATTTTGGTTAAAATGGGGAAAAAATGGGGAAAAACAAAAAAAATGGGGTAAAAACACAATTTCTGTTTGGGGAGAAAATGGGGGATTTTGGTTAAAACCAGAGAAATCTGTAAAAAAACTGAAAAATGGGGAAAAACACCATTCCTGTTTGGGGGGAAAACGGGGGATTTTGGTTAAAAATGGAGAAATCTGTAAAAAAACCAAAAAATGGGGGGAAAACACCATTTCTGTTTGGGGAGAAAACGGGGGTTTTGGTTAAAAACAGAGAAATCTGTAAAAGACCAAAAAATGGGGAAAAAATACCATTTCTGTTTGGGGAGAAAATGGGGGATTTTGGTTAAAAACAGAGAAATGTGTAAAAAACCAAAAATTGGGAAAAATGAGGAAAAAAACCTCAAAAATGGGAAAAACAAAGAAATTATAAAAAGGCAGATTTTGGGGTGAAAAATGGGGATTTTGAGGTGAAAAGCGGGGATTTTTGGGCAAAAAGCAGAGCTTTGGGGTGGAAAATGCAGATTTTGGGGTGCAAAACCCAAATTTTGGGGTGAAAAAGCCAAATTTTGGGGCGAAAAGCGGGGATTTTTGGACAAAAAGCAGATTTTGGGGTAAAAAAATGCAGATTTTGGCGTGAAAATCCCAAATTTTGGGGCGAAAAGCGGGGATTTTTGGACAAAAAGCAGATTTTGGGGTAGAAAAAGCAGATTTTGGGGTAGAAAAAGCAGATTTTGGGGTAGAAAAAGCAGATTTTGGGGTAGAAAAAGCAGATTTTGGGGTAGAAAAAGCAGATTTTGGGGTAGAAAAAGCAGATTTTGGGGTAGAAAAAGCAGATTTTGGGGTAGAAAAAGCAGATTTTGGGGTAGAAAAAGCAGATTTTGGGGTAGAAAAAGCAGATTTTGGGGTAGAAAAAGCAGATTTTGGGGTAGAAAAAGCAGATTTTGGGGTAGAAAAAGCAGATTTTGGGGTAGAAAAAGCAGATTTTGGGGTAGAAAAAGCAGATTTTGGGGTAGAAAAAGCAGATTTTGGGGTAGAAAAAGCAGATTTTGGCGTGAAAATCCCAAATTTTGGGGTGAAAAGCTGGGATTTTTGGACAAAAAGCAGATTTTGGGATGGAAAATGCAGATTTTGGGGTCGAACAGGCAGATTTTGGGGTGAAAAAGCCAGATTTTGGCGTGAAAATCCCAAATTTTGGGGCAAAAAGCGGGGATTTTTGGACAAAAAGCAGATTTTGGGGTAGAAAATGCAAATTTTGGGATGGAAAATGCAGACTTTGGGGTGGAAAATGCAGATTTTGAGGGGAAAACCCCAAATTTTGGGGCGAAAAGCGGGGATTTTTGGACAAAAAGCAGATTTTGGGGTGGAAAATGCAAATTTTGGGATGGAAAATGCAGACTTTGGGGTGGAAAATGCAGATTTTGAGGGGAAAACCCCAAATTTTGGGGCGAAAAGCGGGGATTTTTGGACAAAAAGCAGATTTTGGGGTGGAAAAAGCAGATTTTGGGGTAGAACAGGCGGATTTTGGGGTGAAAAAGCCAAATTTTGGGCTGAAAAAGCCAAATTTTGGGGCAAAAAGTGGGGATTTTTGGACAAAAAGCAGATTTTGAGGTAGAAAATTCAGATTTTGGGGTGGAAAATGCAGATTTTGAGGTAGAACAAGCAGATTTTGGGGTGAAAACCCCAAATTTTGGGGTGAAAAAGCCAAATTTTGGGGCGAAAAGCGGGGATTTTTGGACAAAAAGCAGATTTTGGGGTGGAAAATGCAGATTTTGGGGTAGAAAATGCAGATTTTGAGGGGAAACCCCCAAATTTTGGGTCGAAAAGCGGGGATTTTTGGACAAAAAGCAGATTTTGGGGTGGAAAATGCAGATTTTGGGGTGGAAAATGCAGATTTTGGGGTCGAACAGGCAGATTTTGGGGTGAAAAAGCCAGATTTTGGCGTGAAAATCCCAAATTTTGGGGCAAAAAGCGGGGATTTTTGGACAAAAAGCAGATTCTGGGGTAGAACAGGCGGATTTTGAGGTAGAACAAGCAGATTTTGGGGTGAAAACCCCAAATTTGCTCCTCACCCTTCTTGAGGCGCTGCTGGTTCTTGCTGTTGATGACCAGGGAGCCCTCGCGGAACTCGATGCCCATGGCGAACCTGCGACCCCACGGCGAGCCCGGAGTGACCAGAGTGACCACGCTGACCCCTGGCTGACCCCAGCCCCAAAATCGCCCCTTCTCACCCCAAATTCTTGGTGACCTTGCCCAGCAGCTCCGGCCGCTGCTTCTTGACCACGTCCATCACGGCGGCGTAGACGTCGCACAGACGGGCGCCTGCGGGGCAAGGGTC